TGACTACTGTAGGATCTGTGAAGATGAAGAAGAAATCGAGACAATCGAACACTTACTCTGCCACTGCCCAGCACTCATTAATGTGAGGCATAGGCTAGTGGGAGAACTAGTGTCACATGACTTGTCGTCTTTTTCTAACACTGACCCAGTAGTAATACTTCAACTAGCCAGAAGACTCAAGTGGCTAAAGACGACACGGCAAACTCCTCAGCCGTAGATTCTCACTCTACTACACTATCCCTTATCTTCATCTTCTCTATCAATCACTTTTTCTTCTATCTCTCAAAACTCTTTTCTAGGATGAACACAATGGACCTATAGGTCTCCGAGTGGAGCGGTTGCCATATGGCAATCGCGCGTCCTTTAACCTAACCTAACCTTGCCCAACTCCTTACTTGATATAAGGATGGTAAAGGTATTCCAAGCGTGGACAACATCGGATGCTACCTTTAAGAATTTTTGCAAGCAACAACCGGCCAGGTATTTCACTCTAATCAAAGAATAGAAATGTAATGCCTTTCTCACCCAATTGATTATACAAAAATTATTAAAAAAAAGCATCTGCTGTCATCTCATTTTATTATTTGTTGTCAGCTACCACTATGCCATTAAATCTATCTTTTATTATTCATTAGATAACATCTTAACCTCCAAAGAAATCACAAAAATCCCATGCTATGGAATAATATTCTATAAAAAGATAGAAAGAAAGAAATGAATAAAGTCACCTCATTTAATTTTAAATAGAGAGAGAGGCAATGAAAAAAACAAGTTATGCCGCCATATGATAATGATGACAAAGCCGATACCAAAGATGATGCTTCTGCTGCTGGTGGTGCGGCTGATTCTGATACTCTTCTGTCTGCCATGCCAAGCCATGTAATTTATGAATTATTCTGAATGTGGGAATATTTAGGTCAAACAAACAACCACAAGACATGTTTGACAAAATCAAGTGAATGACACTTTCTTCTGTTGTTTTTATTTCGGGGAGAGAAAAAAGGCGTTTCAAGTATTTTTCTTTTAAGACAGACATTGATGCAGTCAAGAAGCCGTTCAGTTGGGTGTTTTTTCTTCTTTTTTTCCCAATTTTGTTTATCTAATGATTTCTCTAAACAAATAGGTACACACACATACACCTTAAATGGTTATTTAGTTATGAAAACAGTGACGTTTTTGTTCGAACACGTGAACCAGATTTGTTTTCTTACTCAAGTAGCGGAAGCACCACCCATTCTTTTTTTTTGGGTTCTTCGAAAAATGTAAATCAATATTAAAAAAAAAAATACTTGCCGAGGGCCATCATTTGTTTTAAACAATACTAGGCATAAAAATATGATTGAATTTCTTTTATGCCCGGGAGGCCTTCTTTCATTTGATAAATTAATAAGGAAAAAAAGCAAGAAGAAATTGGCAAGATTAATTAATTTTTGCTAATAAATTCAATTTATTTCATTCATTATCGAATTTCATTCATTAACAAGTTATTAATTAGAGAGTTATTGTTAATAGATATTGGGGACTGTAATCAAACAGATTCATTTAGGATCTTATTGAGACGATATGTGTATTTATTTTGGCGATGAACGTTGAAATCATTCAGGGAACTTTTTATTTGACAGTTCGATGATGGAACTTTCGTTTGGACGATATTTGACCTAACGACCTTGACATATTCTTTCTCTCCATAAATAATATATTCTATTAAGGAAGACCGTAAGAGTCAACGATTCTCAGCGAGATTAATGAGTAATTAACGTTTCCATACAGCATTGCCTAGGGAGGAAATAGCTTTTTATAAGGAGAAAAGATGCAAAATATATTAAAGCTAGTTTCTGGTTATATCAATTTCGTAAGAACGAAATTCTACGTGTCATGCTTTTCCAATATTATGTAAATGTATTATTATGCTGGTGACCCAAATTAAACCATTTTGGAATATGACTACAATTTTTTAAAATTCATGAATTTTTTACTAAAAATCCAGAATTAAGGGTTTTAAACGCCATGCTTTATTAAAAATACTCTCTTAAAATCCCCAACTATACTAAAAATATTTCACGATTTACGAAAAAAAATTTAAGGCCAAAAAATTAGCAAAACAAGTTAAACAGTATCAGTAGGCTTTCCCAACAGATGTATACTCCTAGCTTTGAGTTATGATTATTCTAACTGTTGGCCTTTATGAAGGAGGTTCCGAAGCAGTTGGCCAATATTGTCCAATTTGTATCTGACCTAGGCCTGATATTTCTGGTTAAGAAAAATATTTAGATATAGAACGTTGTATAGAATCGCCGACTTGTTTCGCAAGTTATGACATATATAAGTGTTGGAAACGTGACCCTTTGTGGGTGAGGTATCAGAAGGGATTGACAACTATATATCATCTTTAGAACAGATCTTGTCTTAGCAAAAATGTTTGAAATTTGAAGAAAGTTGAATGCTTATATCGCTTTTTATAAACGTTTTGCTTTTCAATATTGAACCCTTTGTAGGGGAAATACCAGACGGAGTTAGCGGATATATCCCAATTCCACAGAAGATATATACCCACTCTAGTCATATGACTGAAGGTATAAAAATTAAAAAATGGAACGATTTTAGTCATATTACCTATATGTAGGAAACATCCTTGCAAATAACTCTCTAGATTCAAGTTTAGGTAAAGTTGCAGTATAACTGTACCACGTCTTCGTATATCGCCAATGTAACGGTACCTCCCTATATTCGGTATTTGGATGATTTAAGCTCCACCTTTCACCGGAATAATTTCTAATTTGGAATTTAGATTTCGTTATGGGTACTACTTTCTATAACAAGAAATTATCAATAAAACGACCAAATTTTCGTATGGCCCCAAATATAACGGTATCTCACATTGTACGGTATTTATTTGATTTTCGCTCGTTTTTCAACAGAATCTCAAACTTGATTTTGAAGTTTTTTTTATGGGCACCATATTTTCTGGTAGATAATTCCACGTTTTCGTATAACCTTATATAACTGTGACACAAGATATTCGTTCTTTTTTAATTGTACCGGCATTTATAAACGGATTTTATTTTACATTTTACAAGTTCTTTCCATATGGTTGAGGACATTAAAAGTTCGACCCAGCCGAAAAAGGTTGATGTTTGCTTAAAATTTTAAATCTATTTCCAAAATGATTATGTACATATTTGCAAACAACCCCCTATTTTTTGCCCAGGATGAGTTTCTAGTAAATTTGTATATAGGCGGAAAAGTCTTGAAAAATAATTCGTATGGGGATCGATCATGATCGATCACGATCAGAGAATCAACGTATTTAGATTTATGGATAGGAGGTCCTTGAAATATTTTTCTTGAAAAATTCTTCTATATTTTCCCAGGAAGGCGTTATTCAAAAAATCTCTCGATTTTGTCCAGGTAGACTATGTAGAAAATATTGTTAATAACTTATGATCCATATACAGCTACGAAGCTTTCAAAAAATGAAAAAAAAAATCTCAATATTCCTGGACAGGACATCTTTGAACATCCATATATAAATAGAAAATTTTTGAAAATGAGATATTTAAAATAGCGTTCCTAAAAATCGAAGATTTTTGTCCAGAATTACCTTGTAAAAATATTCATAAAATTTCCTTTGAAGGAAATATTCTTCAAATATGAAGAAAATATTCACAGTTCGTGGAGAAATATATTAAGGTCTTCAGAAATATATTAAAAAATTATTTTCAAGAAGCTTTTTTAAAAAATATTTGTAAATGAAAAGTCTGAAACATTTTTTAAACTACACAATTCTTACCATAAAGCTTTTAACAAATATTTTTTAAAAAATTCACGATTCATGGCATAGATGTTCTTATATGAAATCTATGGTTTTGTAAGAAATTCTTTTAAAGATTAATTTTAAAATCCTAAGTCTGATACAAAGATGCGATACTATATGCGATACTTCATTTGCTTTTTATGAAATGCGAAACTATTCCCTGTTGCCCTCAAACCTCGCACATATTCATTTGTCTACCACTTTTTGGTCATGGTAGGTAATGGATTATATTGGTGTCCTCAATATCGGGTATTCCCTATGCAATTTTGAAAAAATATCAACCATTATAGTAATGATAAAAATTAACATTTAGGAAACATTCCTCCTCCACAAAATTCCATAATCAAAAATTATAGTCCCTTAAATGTAAATGGATTCCATGAAAAAAAATAAAGTTCCGCATTGAAATAAATTTCTAACATATTTTTTTCTATCAAATTCGTGTTGGATTTCAAATAGAGACTACATTCCTAACAGTTTATATACATTCCACATAATTTTTTACACAAAATTTTTTTAAAGTCAAGATGATCAAAGTCTGTGGTCAAATTAATTGAAAGGTTTGAACTTGTCAATGAATTTTTTCTAGCGCCAAAAATTTGTACCTTATAATGTAACCTTCATATTGAATTGAAGGCAATCTGGGCACATATTTGGAAGTGTATTCCTCCATCAAAAATTGGTTCTTTGTTATAGTTAGTTCTACAATATATTTTCGATATATTTATCTTGGAATATAAACATTTAACACATTTTTTTAACTTTTAGCTTAGCCTTGTTAAGGTGGTGATCATTTATTTATGATTTGAAATTATCATTACAACTTTTAGATTAGTTTTTATTACATGTCCTTTGCAATAGGATACGCTGAGCATCGCTTCATTTTACATTTCAATTGAAAATAATTAAGGGGATTTTTATTCGAGTCTTCATAAATTTCAAGTTCTTAACCGAACAATTTTTAAGGGTTGATTACAAACCAAAGACTTAAAGCACATGCACTACTTAAAAATCCATTACACTGAAAAATTATCTTGCATTTCGAATAAAATGTTTTATTGGTCAACTGTAATCCAATTGAAAGTCAATTTCACATTTTTAAAATGGTTGGTAATTTTATTTTATTTTTCGTTAAATTCTTTGTTTTTAATCAAAATTTCCATTGAATCAAAATTTTCACACTTACTATAAATATTTTCATATTTAATGTTGTTGCACTTCTCTCGCTCTCTGTCTGTTTTGTTAACAAATGTTTATATCAATAAATTCTATTTCCAACAAATTTCCGAAAGTCCTTTTTTCATGTGAACACAAAAAAGAAGAATTCCACTTCTTGTTTTCCACTTGATCTATGTTTTTATGCCCGTATTCCAATTGAGTATTCGCAGTCTTTCTTTTGCTCTTCTTTTTTTTTTTGCGGTAGCAAAAGAACTCGACTTGACAACGTACAAAGACAAACTGTTTCGAATGGCGCCGTTAGCCTAGGTTTATAACTAACATTTCTTTCATTTAACATGGTTAAGGTAACGTGAACACTCGCTTCACGACGTCTACAACGACGACGACAACAAGTAGCAGCGGGCACGGCAGCAAACAACGGAGCAATCTGCCCAAGAGTAATGGTCACAAACAAAGGTGTGTGAGTGTGCGTTTAAGCTGTTAACATGTACAGCTTAACTGTGGCTTAAACATCCACTCCAGCTTGTGCGTACATTCGTTCGACGGCCAATGGAATTTCTTTCGCACTATATGTATGTATGTATGTTTGTACGTGCATTGACTGTGTCTCCAGAAATGCCGTTGTGCGTTAAACACGATGAGCACATTCCATTTTACTCTCGGGCCTGTAGAATAGAATTTTTGGTCCAATGTATAAGAGAAATAAAATATCTTATGTTGAGATTCTAAAGAGAAGAGAAATGTATTTATGTGAGATAGAAATCAAACAAAAGACTTAAGAAACAAACCTTACCGTTAAAATATTCATGAATAAGTTTATGGTTTTGCTTGTAAACAAACTTTATTTGCAGTACACTGATTTTACAACTTGGTATTTTTATGGTTACAAAAAGGTAGATTTTATACCCTCAGTCTAATGGCTATTTGATAGGGCCAAACATTTGAAGTTGAAATAGAAGTCTGTCGGACCAATTAGTGTGCACATTTCTGATTGAGTCCAAATGAAACCTAGTTCAAGTTCGTATAATGGTCATATCGGTCTAAATTTTCAGCCTCCTCCCAGACAACAATTTCCTTATCTGAATAAGTAATAAAAAAGTAAACAAGCAGTGACTGACTGATTCATCATCGTCCATGTGAAATGGCTGAAGCTAGAATCTTGAAATTTTTTTATGCGGTTTACTTTTGGTGGGTAGGGAAAATGTAAGATAAGACTGAGTTTTTGGAAATTCGGAGACTAGAAGTATACTAAAAGTACCATTTTTTGAACGGATACAGCTAAAAACTTGATTTTTGGTATAAATTCCATCTTCATCTCAGTATTCTGGCTGAGAGACATATATTTATGTATAGCAAGTTGTATGGAATCGCTGAGTTGTTTCGCAATTTATGACAGATAAAAGTATTAAAAATTGTGCCCCTTTGTGGGTGAGGTACCAGAAGGGTTTCGCAGATATATAGCATCTTCACAACAGATCTTGTGTTAGCAAAAATGTTTTTATGTGTGAAATTTGAAGAGAGTTGGATTCATATTTCGATTTCTTTGAGCGTTTTTTTTTTTTTTAAATCTTGAACCCTATGTGGGGGGCTGGTAGCAAAAGAAATGGTCCGATCTCTACCATCTTTATGACAGATCTTGGGTTGATGGAAATATTTTAGATGTACCATGTCTGGAATGGAATCGGATGTTGATTTCGCTTACGAGCTTCATGGATATTCAAAATTTTGAGCGTTTGTGAGGGAGGTACCAGAAGGAGCGGACCAATATTGTCAATTTTCGCACCAGACCTAGCACTGATGCAATTATTAGAATATGCAAAGTTGGATTATCCTTTCACTTCCTGTGAAAAAATATATTTTTGGAAAATTTCGACCTTTTGCTGGGGAGGTACCAGAAGGAGTGGACCGATATTGCCCATCTCCGAACTCGATCTAAGTTTGACAAAAATATTACGTTGTACCAAGTTTAGACCGAATCGGATACTCCCTTCGAGAGTTATCGTGTAACAACTGAACTCATTGGTACTAAGTTCGGTACAATTTAGTTTTGGTTTAACGGATTGATCTGGAAATTAAAAATATTGGAAATGGGGTCTCTGCTAGTCGATAGTTTTAAGATAAAGAGCTGGGCTTGGAAATGCGTTCAGCAAGCGTACAAAGGTACTAAAATTTAGTTCTTAAAGTACTAAAAGTTACTAAATTTTGTATTTGGGAAAGCATTAAGTTGGAAGTGTAAAATTTGGCATTAGACTTACTTTTTATTCGGTTTGATTGATACATGGCCGTGGATTAAGAAATACGTACTAAAAAGTAAGAAAAGTACTAAATAGTATTAACTTCGGTACTTGGAGAAGGAAATCTGAAATTTGGAGAAAGATTCTTTGATGTTGTGTAGGATAGTTTAGTTTGTCTAAAGGGTTTTTTTTGGAAATTCCAACAGAACGTGTACCAAAAGTACTAAAATTAGCTAAATTTGATACCATTTGAAATTATGTGAACGGATAGTGGCAAAATCTTGAAATTTGGTATGAGAATCAATTCCGGGGAATGGGGTTGATGTTAGGAGGTGGTGTTGTACTAAGGGTAAGAACTGTACTAAATGCTACTAAATTTGGTACAATCCTGTTTTGGGTGAACTGAAGAAGCTGGTAATTAGAAATGTTGTTATTCGGCTCAATGCTGGTGGGTAGGGTTAAGTTGGGATTGGAAATTCGTTCAGAAAGCGTACGAAAGGTACTAAATGGTGCTGATATCGCTTAAAACCTGAAATTTGGCTTTGGGGTCACTGTTAGTGTGTAGGATTGAGAATCAAAGTTGGTTTTGGAAATGTGTACTATAAGTGCATGAAAAGTACTTAATAGTACTATATTTGGTACAATTCGGTATTGGGTGAACATATAGTGCTTGAAATCTGAAATTTAGTATTGGGGCCGCTGTTCATGTGTAGCCTGGACATATGGAGGTGGCTTAGGAAATGTTCACTGTGGGTGTACGAAAAATACTGAATGGTACTATATTTGGTATTGGGTGAAGGAATGGAGGTGATATCCTGAAAATTGATATAGATGCCACTGTTAGTATATCCGGCAAAGATATGGAGGTGGTTCTAAAAATGCATTCTATATTTGTACAAGTGGCACCAAACTGGATATTGGGTGAAGGGATTCCTGAAATTTGCTATAAAGGACACTGTTGGTAACTGGAATTGGGATATAAAGGTGCCTTTGGAAATGTGTACTATAATTGTACGAAAAGTATCAAATAGTACTAAATTTCGAATTGGGTGAAGTAAAAGAGCTGAAATCTTTTTATAAAAAAATTTAGTATCTGTTTTTAAAATAATGAGGTGGTTTTAAAAGTGTGTCCTACATTTTTACGAAAAGTACTAAGTGGTACCAAATTGAGTATTGGGTGAAGGGATTCCTGATATTTAATATTAAGGTCACTGATGGTATTTGTGGTTAAGATAAGGTACTTCTAAAAATGCGTCCTATATTTGTACGAAAAGTACTAAGTGGCACTAAATTTGGTATTGGGTGAAGGGATTCCAGATATTCGAGATTAAGGGCACTGTAGGTATCTGGAATTGAAATATGGAGGTGGTTTGGAAATGTGTCTTATATTTCACGAAAAGTACTAAATGGTACTAATTTTTGCATTAGGTGCAGAAATCGAGCTCAAATTTTGAAATCTGATATAGATGTCACTGTTTGTATCTGTGGTTAAGATATGGAGGTGGTTTTGGAAATACGTCCTATATTTCTACGAAAAGTACTAAGTGGTTCTAAACTGGGTATTGGATAAAAGGATAGAGCTGGAATTCCGAAATTTGATATTGAGGTATCTGTTAGAGATATGGATACGGTTTTGGAAATGAGTACCATAATTGTGCGCAATGTACTAAAGTACTTAATTTGGCATTATGTGGAGGAATAGAGCTGAAATTTTTAAAGTAGACTTTTCTCAGACGAAGTTCTATGTATAGTGTGAATATGTCAATCCCGTCCTTCAGTACCTCGTAAAATGTGTACTAAAAGTACTAAATATTGAGAAATTTCGAGCTATTATTATTGGTCTTCCCTGAAGAGCCAAAGATCTAAATGTTTATATATACCGTCGACTTTAAATAGGAGAGTGATGTTCGAAAACTAATTTTAAAATTTTAAAAATTCTAAAACCAAGTCAACCTGGAAGTTAAAAGTTTTGTTTGTGGTATTGTATGTGACACTGTACTAAAGGGTACTAGAGCATTCAATTAAAATGTCTACACAAAATTCGTACCAAATAGTACTTTAAGCTAAAGGCTCTAAAGCGGGATTGTATGACTTCGACAAATCGACTTATCTTTCTAGCTTGTTATGTAATTTTTTAGTTCATTTGAAAAATGTTTCTCTTCTATATATGTGTGTGTGTGAGAGAGAGAGAGAGTTATGCGAATATCGATTAGGCATACAAACCAGCTGCTATTATAAAATCATTAAACAACACCGGAAAATTCTTGGGAAGTTCTAATTGAAAAATATTCTAAAGAAAGTTAAGGAAAAACGTAACAGCATAATCAAGCATGTAAACGGAAATATCATTGCAAAAGCATGCACACACACAAACGCACATTAGAAAATGGGCTAAAGTAACCTGTACATCTGCAAAAGCATCGACAAATCGTCATGTGGAAATATCGTCGATATGAAATAAAATGCAAAATGCCTGAAAATCAATACGATTTTTTCACTTTTAAGTTATTTTTCTTTCATCTTCGTTGGAAGTATTTTTAGACAGGCCATTGAAAATAGAGAATTCCTTGTAAATCAATCTTCCACTTCGCCACATGTGCCATGAAGACAATTCTATTCCATTTTCACATCGTCTTTTCCACTTGTTCTTCCTCCTCTTTGGCTGCTGGGATATCAGTTAACTAATCAATTCGTTCCATCGATTTGAGTCAATAATTGTGTGTTTGTCTTGCATGGAGATGGCATTCTTGCAGCACACCATGACCAGTTCTGCAAAGTAAGTTGTAAAAGAAGAAGCAAGTTCTC